ATGATATGTACATCCGCATTTGCTTCAGGACAACCTGTGCCGCCTTTTTTAAATGAGGAGACAGTGAAGAATTATCTTACTAGTTAATGTTTTGTATTGTTTTTACATCATGTAGGAGAGTTTTTCAGTCTTACCATTAATCCTTTGNGGAGACCGAGACTGGAAATCCAATACTTGGTGCCAACCCAATTACCGACCTTTCGGGCTGTAAGGGAGTATTTGATACTGAACTTACCATCACGTATGAAGAATGGATAGAGGGCACCAAGTTTGTCTGCAAGGTGGAACATAAAGATTGGATGGAGCCACTTACAATATCCTACCAAAGGATTAATGGTAAGAATCTATGGAGCAATTGTTCAAAACCTGTTTTCAATTCCTCTTGTCATGCCATCAAACACGTGTTATTTGTTTGTGTATTATGTAGCAGGGATTTTCTTCTTAAGTTCTTCTATCTGTGGCCAGAGCCCTAATTGTTCTCTAATGCTTGCAGGAGGAACGACTCAGCGTCCATCAGTGTTTATGCTACCTCCCCTAGAACATACTAAAAAAGACACGGTGACCCTGACTTGCTTAGTGAAAGACTTCTACCCTAAGTATATGTTTGTGGCTTGGCTTGTTGATGATCAGGAATCAGGCTTACAATACAACACCACAAGCCCTATAGAAAACGAGGGATCCTATTCTGCTTATGGCCAGTTAACTCTCAGCACTGAACAGTGGAACGACAATGACACTGTGTATAGCTGTGTTGTTTACCATGAGTCTATGGTCAAAACAGGAACTAAAGCCATTGTCAGATCCATTGGGCACAGAACATTTGAAAGAACCAACCTGTTCAACCTCAACATGAACATCCCCGATACGTGCAAGGCTCCCTGCAAGTAGATGTGATTATGTGTCACTGTGTCTTCGGCTGTTTGTTGTTTAATGTTTGTGCTTGTTATATCACATTGTGTTTGTCGTTTTAATGCAGATTCAAAATAAAAAAAAGCTCTTTGCAACTCAGTTGTTGTATGTCGCATGCTGTTTATGTCTTTATTATTTAATATTAGTTTGATCTCCATGTTTATCATACTTTAAGTGTAGAGTCACAGTGCTCTCCTAATGCAACACACATTAGGTTAAGCCATCCGTGTGTTAAGCAGTGATTAAAATAGATCAAATTTAACAACATCACCTCACAAAATCTAATGAAGAAAATCTATTTGTTTATTGTTTTTTGTATACATAGTATTACCATTGTTTGTGTGACTTGTCTTTGTGTATGTGTGTTTCTACTACTGGGTCTTGCAGCCCGACATAAGACAAATAGTCATTCACGGCCAAACTCCAGCTCTATGGTCGAATAATGAATTGACTGATTCACAAGCCAGGTCATGACACATAAAGGGGTCTTTCAAAAGCAATTCAAGATCATTGTAGGATGACTTTAATTATCATAATCAATTTTAGTGGGACCTTTAGCCCAGCCTTTTACACTTACAATAATGTATAGTTACATTATTTCAATTTGTAGTTAAACTTGGATTGTCTGACATTGAGTTACTGTATTTTCACACTGGCCTGAGGTTATTAAGAGTGGGGGAGGGAAATGATTATGATATGGTAATCATCTCATGAGCTATTTTGAATCTGCATTAAAACGACAAACACAATGTGATATAACAAGCACAAACATTAAACAACAAACAGCCGAAGACACAGTGACACATAATCACATCTACTTGCAGGGAGCCTTGCACGTATCGCTTCGGCTGTTTGTTGTTTAATGTTTGTGCTTGTTATATCACATTGTGTTNCGCTCGGTATGGCTAGGCCTCGTTAGGCCTTGTTAGGACTGGCTCACTTTATGCTGCGCTTCCATTACAGTTTAGTAGCTGGGGCAGTAACTATGGGAAAGCAGTCTATCAATGAGAACCACAGAAAAACCACATCAGCCGTTAGCTGTTAGCACCATACTTGCCAACCCTCCCGATTTTCGCGGGAGACTCCCGATTTCATAGCCCTCTCCCGGTTTTCTCCCGGGGTCATATTTCTTCCGCATTTCTCCCGATTTCTGACAAAATCAGATTTACTCACGACTGTTTCCACTCTGACTTTATTACAGCTACACCATTGTTTGGTTTCCATGGTAGTGCGTCTCTTTAGTAGCGTGCACAACTAGATAGTCACAGAAAAACAGAACAAGAATCGACAACTCGACCCTCTGCCCACTCCTTTCCTGGTCCAGCCCACACATATGCTCCATCAAGAGGATGGTGCTACAGGCCGCAAGGCATTGCACTCAGAACTACAATAAGCATGTTAATGTTAATCTAACTAGCCCCGGCGACCCACTAGCACCCCCCCGCGGTGGTTTTGAAATGCTCCCGATTTCTGAGCACCCAAGCTCACAGCTCCTCATATCTGTTCAGAAACTAGACAAAATTTAAACAAGTAGCCTACAAACCACAGACTGTCTGTGCCGGCGAATACAGTCGCTGGTTTATTTATGTCTGTATGGGCCGCTGTTGTGAGTGTGGACGGTCGGAGCATATATAACGTTAGCTTAGCCGAACTCCATTTCGAAAACACGCATTTTAAAAGGTTTTTCGCCTGCCGTCTGTCTGCAGACTTGTCAAAGCATTAATTCATGGTTTTTACTAACCGGTATCAGTATCTTGTTACTTCTGCATCATTTTGAAACGTGTATTACAATTAAGTCACTGTCAGATATGTTCATTTTGTTGTAGTTGTAGCCCCCTTGCCAGTGATTCTCTCTCTAGTTTAGCATACTCAGCACGACTCAGCCCGACTCAGCCTGGTTGTTGGCCCGGAAAGAACCTCGATTTTATGGGGCCAGAAAAAACTGTGAAATAGTACCCGCTAGCCGGAACTACGCCAAGTGGAAACGCAACCATAAAAAGGGCCAGGCACGACACGCTTTAAAAAGTGAGCTCCGCGCTGTAGTGGAAATGCGCCATTAGTCTAACTAGGTAAGATAAGGTTAGTACAGACCAGAGCAGCATCAAGGAATCAGACCCTTTTTGTGGGAAGAAATGTCTCGGTGACATGTTAGCTACAGGACTACTAGTGAGGACGCGCGTGAACTGCGAGCGCCTGAGCCTCGCAGCGGCTAAACTGTGGCACGCTTACACTATTGCGCCACATAAGCGCATAAAGGTGCGCGGCATTTGTGCTTCAGATGAGGCCCCCTCCACGAGGTGAGGCCCCCCTCCACGAGGTGAGTCCCTGTATGTAACCATTAACCAATAACTAACCAAGGTAACCCCCCCACCTTATCACCTGAATCTCCTCCTAGAGCACCATTGAGTTCTTTTTAACCAAATCTCTCTCAGAGGGGCGTGGGGAGGGGCTCCTTATTTTCATCTAAAGTAACAGACAGAGAATCAGCACTTTTGAAACAGGGCTGAAACAGAGGGGATTATTGGATAGTGCAATGATCTGTTTGGTGTTTGGAGCCAAACACTTCAGAGACATGTTCTGTATATATCTGAGACCTATAATATATTGATGAAAAACAGTATGATAGGGGACCTTTAAGATAATATGGGATACACACTGTTAATGGCAACTTTATTCTGGGGACACTGACAGAGTGCTAATGGGGACATCTATGGCTCAGAATGTAGATATTTGTCCGAGGGCATGGTACAGTATGTTTGCAAATATTTCGTCAAAAAAGTAGGAAAAATAGGAACTTTGACCAAGTAGATGACATGTCGATCAACAAAAATCTTTACAATTCACCAGAGATCAAAAAGAATATATAAAGTCAAAACCACTCAAAACCATAATATCAATCGCACACTATATGGAAAAAAGTATTAGGACACTCCTCTTAATCATTTAATTCTGTTTCATTCACTCCCATTGCCACAGGTGTATAAAATCAAGCACCTAGACATGCATTATGCCTTTACAAACATTTGTGAAAGAATGGGTCTCTCTAAAGAGCTCACTGAATTCAAACGTGGTTCTGTAATAGGATGCCACCGTTGCAACAAGTCAGTTCGTGAAATGTCTTCTCTCCTTGATATTCTACAATCAACTGTAAGTGGTATTTTTGCAAAGTGAAAACGTTTATAGGAACCACAGCAACGCAGCAACGAAGTGTAAGACCACGGAAAGTTACAGAGAGGGTTCGCCGAGTGCTGAGGTGCATACTGCGTAAAAGCAGAGCTCTACTGACTCAATAACTGCAGAGTTCCAAACCAGCTCTGGCATTAATGTCAGCACCAAAACTGTGCGCCGGGAGCTTCATGGGTTGTCATGGCCGAGCAGCTGCATGCAAGCCTTACATCTCCAAGCACAAAGCCAAGCGTTGGATGGATTGGTGTAAAGCACCACTGGACACCGGAGCAGTGGAAACTGGCATGACTGTGCCCAAACAAGGTCCATTAAGGCATGGTTGGATGAGTTTGGTGTGGAATCATTTGACTGACTCGCACAGAGCCCTGACCTCAACCTCATTAAACACCTTTTGGGAAGAAGAACGGAGAGCCAGGTCCTCTCGTCCAACATCAGTGTATGACTTCACAAATGCTCTTTCTCGATGAATGGTCAAGAATTCCCACAGAGACACTCCAAAATCTTGTAGAAAGCCTTCCCAGAAGAGTGGAAGCTTTTATAGCTGCAAAGGGGATTCCTAAGAATTTGGAATGGGATGTCATAAAGCTCCTGTAGGTGTAATGTGTATGTGGCCCAATACTTTTGTCTATATAGTGTATGTCGAAGCTAGACTATAGAAGAAAGGTTGGGGGAACACAACTTTAAGTAGGATTGATAGTCTTGGGACCGTGGATGTCAGGACAAAAAGTGGTGGACCAACGGAACAACAGACCATTATTGCCATAGGACCACACCGCCACTGTGGCTTAGAACAAACACTAAATCAAAGATCTGCAACCCACCTCACAAGTTCCTGCTAGGTCTGGGACAAAGTGTGGTCTAATGTTAAGTTTTCAAAAACTAAGCTTAACTCTCTTGAGGCTCTGTGCTTTGTTCTAAAATACTTGTTTAAATTGGCTACTTGTGCACTACAGAACTACTCATTGCCTTTTGCGTAAAGCTGCATTCACATTTAATTTCTACAGTTACCTCCTCTAATTTGCGCCGCTTATCACAGCTGTCATCTGATTGGTTGCACATAAAAAGGTCAGTGAACAAAGTCAAAGTTTAAATACTGTCGAGCACCACATTTCCCATAGAAACAAAACGGCAACGTCCGCGCAGAGACGTTTTGCCGCTTTTCATGTTAATGCAGCTTTAAAATGGGTATGGCTATTTTAATGATAAAAGATTAGGTATTTTGTGCTTTAAGGTTTAAACGTTTCAAACTCTCATAAAGGTCCAACTGTGTGTGTCAGTAAAGATACATACACTACAACTTTTCTGTGTCTGTCGTCATACAACTGCAACTTTAGAAAAACGGAATTGAAAAGTGGAGGAATGACTATTTACCTCTAGATTATTGCTTCAGATTGAACAACACATTGACATAAGTAAGCATGAATGACGTATTAAAGCGTAAGCATGAAGTAAACACCACCATTGGAATTGTATTATGAGATTGAATAAAATAACTTTTTACTCAAATAGTACACCAAGGATCCTGTGAACACAATGTTGGAACCTGCTTTTAACCTCCTAAACGCATTTTCTCAAATGACATCATACATTTCTCAGTTTAGCTGTAACCGTTTACATTAAGTGTGAATTTAATTCTTCACCTTCCAGCCAGTACACTATCAAAATTTGAAGTATGGATTTAAAATTAAACACCTTTATTTTGCTTTGATAAAATTAAACCTGATAATAATGTTTAATGTTTCAGTGAAAATAAACACTAGCTGCATGGAAGGTTATAGAAATGCAATCCTTAAATGTGTAAAATGTTAAACACTAACATGTACACAAGGCTTGTAAGCTATAGTTATTGAAAACACAAGATATTTTTAAGACGGACAGTAAGTCTGTGTTTATAATAGATCAAGTTACAAAGAATACACATTTTTAAACTTCAATTGTGAAAATGTGGACAAGCTCTATAACCATTACTTCAGGAGCTGGAGGGTCTGATAAAGAGGAAGTGTTCACTAACCGTTGGCAAAACACACATCATTTTATATAACCCAGACCACAGGAAATGCATATCTCAAGGGAAGTGGTTAATAAATAGTACAGTGGGCATTGCTTCAGCAGTGAGACCAACATGAATGCTTTTCTTGGTTTAATATCATTTGAAGTATTTGTATTAGAAGCAGATTGTAATATATCACTGTGACGGATACTTTGACTACTGGGGGAAAGGAACACAAGTCGCAGTGACTTCTGGTGAGTAATAATTAAATATATATCAAGTGAAGACAATTCAATTTCTTTCAGGTTTATTGTTGCATTTTTCTATATTCTAACTCTGCTCATAAATAACATTAATCTGTAGCAAAAACAATATCACGGTGAATGTTAGGTATGAAGTCATTTACTGTACCATTTATTAGATAATAGTAGCTATAAAATATTTTTGTACTAAGATCTATTGAAACATATCACTGTGACTACTACTTTGACTACTGGGGAAAAGGAACAATGGTGACCGTCACAACAGGTAACAAAAGCTTTTATGGTCGTTATATTGAAAATGTAATAATTACTCTATTGAATATATATATTTAGATTCGGGAGCACCAAATGCATCTTTAAGGTGCTCATTTTTGTACGTTAGATGTGTTGACACATTACACTGTGCTACGGTGCTTTTGACTACTGGGGTAAAGGCACAATGGTTACAGTCACATCAGGTAAGGCACTCTTATTTTTCTTTCTCTAATATATTTAAATCTCAACGTAAATAAATTGGTAGTTAAAAAAAAAAGGAATTTCTGACACCATGCAATTCATTCAATTCTGGGATACTGTAAGCCAAATCTGTTAAAATCAATACGCTCAATTCAAAATGTTGAAAAGTGTCCTTGTTTGAAAAAGCCCAGGTAAGCGTTTTTCAGAGGGTAGATTGTCAGGGAACAGGTTTTTGTATGCAGAGGTTGATAACTTGTTGAACTGTGACTACGGTTTTGACTACTGGGGAAAAGGCACAATGGTCACCGTCAGCTCAGGTATGTCATTTTAATATTTCCAATTAGAGAATGAAATGCCTAATCATCTAACTAAAATACATATAGTCATTTTCATGTAGTCACAACTATAGGTCAGTTTTAAAACAGCCAAAAGTCATTTGCAGCCTGATAGAGAATCTGAGAAAAGCTTTACATGATTTTGTTCAGTTGTAAAGCAAGTCTAGCAACAGGTGTATATTTGAGCTTGATTGTAACTGCCGTAACCAAATTGTATGACATTAAGTAAGGGACATTAAAGTAATGAGTTTTTGTGAGAAGTGTCAGTTGACTCTCATAACTGTGACAACTGGGCTTTCGACTACTGGGGAAAAGGCACTATGGTAACAGTGTCCTCAGGTAAGAATTTTACCATTTAAAGTCTTCAACAAGGTGTTTTTCAGACTGCACAATATCATGTAAAGTTATTTTTTAGCATGTGAAGTCTAACTTAAAAAATAAAGCTTTGAATACACAGTCAGTGATATTCTCAGTAGGACACAATGGTGGATATTTGCGGTAACTGTAGCTTGAGTTAGCAAGCGGATTTAATAATATAGTGTGATTAATAAAAAATGAAGTCAAACCTTTCCGCTCGCCATTAGATGTAGCCTTATAATACTAACAGCTAAGTAGATTCAGCACTGTGCTACTACGAGGCTTTTGATTACTGGGGAAAGGGTACAACGGTAACTGTTTCATCAGGTAAGAATACTTTCTTATTACCGCTACATTTGAGATTAAGAAATGGATGGTTAGTGACTTTAAACGTTCATCCATTTAACTCAAAAAGTTATTTAATTGAGGTAGGTTAAACGTTGTCCAACAATTAAAATCTAGACGAAAGAGGGGAACATAAAAGGTCCGTGAAAGGATAATTTAAAATATAACGCAATCAGAACGGTGCTTTGTTACATTCAATTCACCAACTAAATTGTCTTACCACTGTTTTACCTAATACCTGGTGAAAATGTCTGTTGTATACAATGTATTTTCTAATTGTATTAACACGTATGTTATTTCTTTTTTCAGCCACTGCCACTGTCAGTAAACCAACTGTGTTTCCTCTGATTCAATGTGGCTCCGGGACCGGAGACACAGTCACTCTCGGCTGCCTTGCCACCGGCTTCGCTCCGTCTGCTCTGACCTACGGATGGAGCAAAGACGGGGCAGCCTTGCCCTTGACAGACTTCATTCAGTACCCCCCCGTACAGAAGAACAACCTCTATCAGGGTGTCAGTCAAATCCAAGTGAGTAGACAGGACTGGGATGCCAAGAAGAAATTCGAATGTACCGTGACACATGAAGCGGGAACGGCGCAGGGTGACTTCGAAAAGCCAGGTAAGACCTTTGTTAAGTCAAATGTAAGTGTCTTAGTAGTTGTTTAAACATCTAGCAAATACGTTTTCATGGTGGGAAAACAATGTTAATTATCTGTTCTTATTAAATTTAATTGTAGTAGTGTGCTTATCATAAATGTTAATTATGTGTTCTTATTCAATTGAATTCAATTGTCGCAATGTGGTAATAATTACTTATACATTTATTCTTATTCAATTCAATTAAATTGTCGCAGTGTGGTAATAATAACTTGTGAATATTGTCAGAATGAATAGGGAGTGTAGTGTCGAAGAAAGTTTTACACTTTATAGTGCACTGCTACAAGGCTACTTTAGTCACTAATACTTAAGATACTGATAATGTAAAATAAAATATAAAATCAGTTGGTCACCTTATGTAAGATAACTATTTAAATTCCAAAAATAACAAATTTAACAAATATTAAAACGAAAAATTGTGCTTCAAGGCGTTGTACACAAAAGCTATTAAACAAGAGAGTTTATTAAATATGGCATTTTAAAACTAGTGTAAATCCTGCATATTGCAAATAAACAATTGAACCATTAACAATAAAAAGGAGGCAGCAAATAGCAGGAACACTTATGATAAGAACAATTCAACCTGTCAGTAAATATTCAAAACAAAGGAAGAGTGACTGTTAATTAAAGGCAATGTTGAATAAATATGTTTTAAGTTAACGGGGAAAATGTTTACAGAGCTGTAATAGCCCTATAGTTTTGGTCCATTGTTAAATAAGACTGAGCTCAACCTTAACCTTTATAATGGTATACCGAGCTGCTCATTTTGTAATTTGTCAATGAATGAATAGCGGTTTAATTGTTCAAAAAGACAGATATACTCCCATCTGTCATTTCAAAGGAACATTAACACAGGAAAGCATGAAAATATAATTCATTGTTGCAAAATGATATGTGTGAAATAGTGTATCCTTAAATATTTTTTGTTTTATAATAAGTAGGGATAACGGCCAAATCTTACAGTGAGGTGGAACGAGAAGGCTAAAGCTCAGCTGTTAACTTGATCTATTTGTTTCATTTCTAATTTACCCTCTGCACCTGTTAAAAAAACAGATAACTGCTATATGTCCTGCTTCTTTCCGTCGATCTGCATTTTACAAATGTCTGTCTGCTTTCCCTTTTATCGATGTTGATTATTAACTTTAACTGTGTGTTCGCTTGCCCGAGCATCTAATGTATATGCAGAAGCAAGCATTACAGCTCTGTTTGTTAGATACAAGTCTTTCTTTTTGAACTATTAACTTTATTTATTTTTCTGCAGTCTTTATTAACAAGCTACAGTAAGTGTTAAATCGAAAGAGTATAATCACCATGTGAAATACAAAAAAAGTCATACACTCAAATATAATATATGTGAATATAATAAAAAATAAGCATTGTAGCACATTGTTCCCATTTGCTTCTGCATATATATATATAGATATATATATATATGATTACCTGCTTCTGCAAACACATTTGTGTATATGTTTGTTTTTCAGTGGTGGTTTATAAAGTTCCAACTCTTAAAGTGTTAGCCTCCACTTCCTCTGAAGACAGTGAGTCTCACCTCTCCTGCTTGGCCACTGATTTTTCACCTGACGAATATAAGTTCAAATGGCTGAAAAACAATCAAGAAATCACAACCAAAATCCACGTGGTCAAAACTCGTTCTACGGAAAGAAAGGACGAGAATGGAACTTCACTGTACAGCGCAGCAAGTTTCATCACGATGAATTCCAGTGACCTGACTTTGGACATCCCTTTCATGTGTCTGTTTGAGGGGAAAGGGGAAAAAGCTCCAAGTTTCGCGAATAGAACGATCGTCCCAACGGAATGTGATAGTAAAAAACCCGGTAAATGACTAATTTATCTTTCAAAATTGTATACAAAGAGTTCAATTTTTATGTTTTTGCAGCCATCTCTGTTAAATAATTCTTCACTGTCTCCTCATTTAAAAAAGAGAGCACAGATTGTCCTGAAGCAGATGCGGATGTACATATCATCGAACCCTCAATGGAGGACATGTTATTAAACCACAAAGGAACGGTATATTGTCAAGTCAAGGTTAACAAACCACCTCTGGAAAAGATTTCATGGGAGACCGAGACTGGAAATCCAATACTTGGTGCCAACCCAATTACCGACTTTAAGGGCCATAAGGGAGTATTTAATGCTGAACTTACCATCACGTATGAAGAATGGATAGAGGGCACCAAGTTTGTCTGCAAGGTGGAACATAAAGATTGGGTGGCACCAGTTACAAGACCCTACCAAAGGATTAATGGTAAGAATCTATGGAGCAATTGTTCAAAACATGTTTTCAATTCCTCTTGTCATGCCATCAAACATAATGAGTGTTATTTGTTTGTGTATTATGTAGCAGGGATTTTCTTCTTAAGTTCTTCTATCTGTGGCCAGAGCTCTAATTGTTCTCTAATGCTTGCAGGAGGAACGACTCAGCGTCCATCAGTGTTTATGCTACCTCCCCTAGAACA